CATCCCTGGAAACATTCCAGGTCAGGTTGGACGGGGCTCTGAGCAACCTGATCTAGTGGAAGATGTCCCTGCTCGTTGCAGAGGGGGTGGGCTAGATGACCTTTAGAGGTCCCTTCCAACCCAAACTATTCTGTGATTCTATGCTGTCTGTCGTGAGCAGCGCTTTCCCCCAGGGATGTTAATAGTTACAGACGCATCCGCATTACACAGCGGCTGCGGTCCCTCCACCAGTCACCCACACGGGACCCGAATCAGCAGCTCCTTCAGAGGTGAATGGAGCAATGAAATCAGATGGCGTGTTCCTCCCTCCCAGGCACGGGAACCTGAAGCCCTCTGTTCTTAAGCAGCTGATATTCCTGGCATGCTTCTGGCAGAGGCCAGCTGAGTCACTCCCAGGCAGTTCCCAGGTGTGGCTTGGCAGGCAGCGGTTGCCGGCAGCCTCCCTGCTCTGCTCTGCAAGGGTTTGCAAGCGTTGACCCAGGCCAGTAGTGCAGGTCCACCCCAGTGCTCCTGGACACCGCTGGTCTGGCAGCAGGGTGTAGCCTGAGCCACGTGTTTGTGGTGCAAGGACAAATTCAGTGAGTTGCTCTGTGACTGCAGCCAGGAAATGTGTGCCTGGACTCTTCCTGTAGAGCAAGAAAAAAGAAAAACATCTAGTGAAAATTTTAGGCACTGACATTTTCCCTTTAAGTTCAGGGCTGGATTCTCTTTCGCCCCGTGATAATTCCTTTCCTGGCTCGGGCTCCTGGTGTCTGTGCACACTTCAGGTTTTACATTGTCCTGAGTAACCACAGTGAAAGTCAGCATGTGGGCCCTGTGGTCGAGCGTAATAAACTATTAGGAGATTGCATGTGCCAGGCTCTGAAGCCCTCGCTCTGGAAGAGAACTCAGAAGTTACTGACTCATCAAGAAGGTTATGTTTTGATGATGCCAGCTGAGGGGACTGTGTCACGAGGCTGTGGTTTTTCCCTTTTGTGTCTGTCTCAGCAACTGCAAAGTGAATCCTCTAACACTGGAAGCTCATGCATTACGGCTGGTTTTTAGCAGAAGGACAGGTACGTCTCCTAAGGTACCGCCTGTGGATGTGGGGATGAGCTATTGCTGTACATGCCTTGCTATATGCCTGACTTGTTCCCTCGTGTGTTACCCCTGCCAAGCCAGGCATGCCGGAGCTGTGGATGCCACCCTGCTCAAGAGCTCTGGTGTCAGCCAGGCGCTTCTGAGGTTCTTTGGTTCATTCTCAGACGGTCTTTAAATCACTCAGCAGTGGTCAAGTGCCTCTGCGTGCTTTGCAGTGAGTGCAGGGTCTGAACTGCAAGCTCAAGAACTACTGTAGGATTTGCAAAGCCGTTCTGTGCTTTACACACGGCAGCGCAAGGGTGAGCGCGAGGCCCGCAGGACCTGTCCCCAGCGCTGCTCCGAGCAGGGCAGCTGTGAGCCAAGCAGGGTGCTGCTCCCACAGCTGGAAGGTGATGAGTGGCACCGTGGGAGCCTTTCCGAGCTAACTCCCAGGTAGTTCCCAGGTACACTGTGGCAATCAGATTATTCCCCGCAGGCGTTCAGCACGCAGCCACGCTACATGCATAGGCAGATGTTTGCCCAGCCTTGTCTTACAGCCTCCCAGAGAACCAAGACTTGCAGTACTCCTCGTTTCAGTGCTGTTAGTGCTTTTCTGGTGAGAGAGGTTTTCTCCCCTGCTACAAATTCAGCCCCTTCCCATGTTCTCCTTCGGTGGGCAGAGAGAAGGGCTGAGCGTTCCCTCTTGGTGATAACCCTGTTGGTGTGGGGAGAGTCAACTGCTTCTACCTAGTCTCTTTTTTCCCCAGGCTAAATAAAACTTGTCGTTTCACTTTCTTAAAGGAAAGGTTTCATATTATTTTTGTTGTAGTTGGACTCCAAGAAAAGTGCTGAACAATGAGATCTTTTGGTTTAATTTTTAACATTTTGGGGAGTGGTGTCAATGTCTGTGACTGTTTCTACACCCTCTGCCTTTCCTTTGTAGGTACACGGACTTTGTGCTTCTTGTCACTGAACGTAATCTTTGTCATTCCGGGCTGTTTTCATTTTACAGACTTGTCTTGGTTCTAGAAAGCACCTGCAGCTCTTCCCAGCTCGGGCAGAGGTGCTGGGCCCGACCCACTCCGCTGGGCCAAACCCCCCCCCCCCCCAGCCCCTGGTGCTGGCAGCTGCCCCTTCCCCTCATTTGCCCCTTCCCTGTCGCTTGCCTTACCGACTTTGCAGTACAGTTCCTAATGAAAGCTAATTAACGTTGTCTGCCCTTCCCAGGATGTTATCTCCCACATTGCTCCGGGCAGGAGGCCCTCCTCTCCAGTGCGTTAATAAATACCTCTCGTGGCCAGCCTTTACTGATGGCCTTGCCTAACTCGGTGTCTGCCAAAAGGGGCCACCTCTTCTCCGGTTTTTGGCAAGCCTTTAGATGGCGATGCTGGGGGTGCAGCCAGATTCAGGTACCCCGGCGTGTGTCCCATGCTCCGGTGCCACATCCCAGCTCTGCTGACCAGCCTCTTCTTTTCTTTACAGCCGAATCCTTTAAGGAGTTCGCAGAGCTGCTCCATGAGGTAGAGCTGGAGAGGTCCATGATGGTAAGATGATCTGAACTATGCTCTGGTAATTACTGCCTCGTCGCAATGTTTAAATGCTAAATCACGGCTGAACTGCATCACGCGCCTTGGTGTGAAGCTTCCCATCGGAGGGAAGCTGGGAGCACCGGGAGCGTTGTGCTTTGTACCACATCTGGTCCACGGTGCCATCACCGTGGGCCCTGAGCAGCAAAGGGGAGGTGCTGGGCGGGGAGAGGGAGAGGTTGTCCCACACAGTGTCCGAAACCTCTCCTGCCTGCCGGGTAGTCATGGAGCCCCAGGACCGTGCCACCTGCAGTAGGTTTGCTCTGCAGAGCCAGGTGTGTCTGAGCTGGTAACAAGCTGGTTTTGTGGTGAAACAAAGTGTTAAAGAATAAGAAGCAAGATGTATTTTTAGCTTCGTTTTTGCCGGGTGCAAGCATGCGGGTCCCCCTGTGCCCCTGCCCTTGCCGGCACAGCTCCTGCAGGGCAATGTGCTGCCTTCGGGTCTCCCGCTGCGTTGTGCCCTCTGCGTCTCCACAACTCCTCCAGAGTGAGCGTTGGCTTCCCGTTTCACTCCTAACTCCAGGAAAAACACGAAGGTTAGGCTCAGTAGAGAGCTTTTACAGCATGCCAGGAATGTGCTTCTTGGCTCTGCTTTCCTCTGCCTCGTGCAGCAGTGAGAGCTCGTGCCAGGCCGCTGGCTGGAACAGCGCCGCAGGGGTGGCTGTGCCGGCAGGACGCCACCGTCCGCTCTGCGGGTCCGCAGGCAGGCAGGGAACGGGAGGAAACTAGTAAGCGGCTGGAGGAAAGCAGTAAGATATTTCTTTATTAATTACATCCCAGATGCAATGGCTCCTTTAGCAGTGGGTAAGTGGGTGGAAGGGATCATTTCAGGGATCATGGATGCTTTTAGGGATGCTGTCCAACTTTTCTAAATCTTTTTTTTTGCCCTCCACTTGTAGGACCAGTCCTTGACAGTAGCTCACTCAGAAGGTTTCACACTCTCACCACATTGATCAGCTTTAAATTACCTGAAAGGGCTGTGGCAGTGTAGTGTCGTATCCCCTTCTCTTCCCTTCTCCCTTCTCTGGAGCTCGGGAGACAGCCTGTCGCAGTAGAAGTGGGGATGGGAAGAGATGGCAGGTAGTGTCCCAGTGCCAGAGTGGAGCTGGAGCCAGTGATACAAACTGGGGTGAGTTTGCCTGTGGATTCACGGAGAGGGAGTGCAGAGCATGTCCCAGGAAAGTGTCTTTCAGACATCTGACGGGACTGGAAGAGACACAGGCAGGCTTTCCTTTTTCCCTAGCTGTTATTGTTATTCTCTCGCTGTGACAGATAACCTGCTGTCATTCCTCTTCTGTCTGGATCTCAGGAGAAGGAAAGTCATTTATCTGAGAGCTGTGTTATTAGAGCCATCAAGCCCAGTGCTGTCTGTGGTGAGAAATGCCAGACCATGAGAAAGCCACGGCAGGGAGCCGGCCCCAGCTCTGCCTTCTGCTCGCGTGAGCTTGGGGCATGCCTTCTCTGAGAAGCAGGTCCTCCATCGTAGCGCTGTCTGTGGTGAGAAATGCCAGACCATGAGAAAGCCACGGCAGGGAGCCGGCCCCAGCTCTGCCTTCTGCTCGCGTGAGCTTGGGGCATGCCTTCTCTGAGAAGCAGGTCCTGCCCATCGTAGCCTTGCTGAGCTCTTACAGGTTGTTTAGCATTGGAAAGCAGCTCGTTTCAGGACTGCAGCAGCCGCTTTCTGGCAGTGCACTCACCAGCATGAGCATCTGCTGTGTTCACTGGGAGATGCTAGCAACTCGACATGTCCCTGCCTCTGGGATCTTACCCATCATGGCTTTGCATTAAAGACAAGGGTGGATGCTGTTGTGGAAAGCAGGGCTAGTGCAGTGGTGTGCCTAGGTGGCAGGAGGGAGTGCGGCCGGGTTGTCCGCAGCAGAGGAGCCGGCAGCAGTGGCAGAGGGGAAGCAGCTGCAGCAGCATGTCTTCTCTGCTCCCTTCCCTCCCATTAGAGCAGGCAGGGCAGCTCGCTGCAGGCAGGGACCCAGCTGAGCTGACAAGTAAGTAGCAGTCTCCAGTGTGCTTTGAGAATATATTTGGTTCTGGTTTGTGCTTCTCGGAGAGATAAACAAACAGCCTTGCCTCCTGGGGCTGCTCCGAGTGAGGGCTCACCCAGCAGCCAGCATACTTTGAACATCAGTTCTCTCAGCCCTTCCCATGTCTGATAGGGACAGCGGTTCTGTTAAAACGGGATGGGTGGCAGGTGCTGTCACTGACGGGATTGTCCTGCCTGAGCGCAGCCGGTGGCACAGGGCTGGTGGCAGGTTGGGGGGAACCCGTCTGTCATTTACAGAATGTCCCCGAAGCCTCGTGTGCCATGATTGGGGTTTTCTGTGTATTGCAGATGGGGAAGTGTGGATACGGATGGGTTAAGTGACTTCACCTGCGGACAGAGAACAAGTTTGCAAGTCAGAGACATTAAAATCTAAGAGTTCTTGGCTTCTAGCCCTGTTCAGTCTCTATTTAGGAGAAAATTAATGTGTCCTGTAATTAAACTGTTTCTTTCTTTGCGCTGTAGGTACAGAATGCTAGTGATTTGCTGATCAAACCTTTGGAAAACTTTAGGAAGGAGCAAATAGGGTTCACCAAGGTAAGGCTTGATTGTTTGTTTGTTTTAAATTTAAAAAGATTTGTTTTCTATTACTATGTTTGAATTCAATTTTTTCTCCTGTTTTTTTTTTGTTGTTGTTGTTTTTAAAAAGTAGACAATTGTACTACGTTTGGCTTCATGCTTTCAGAAACTTCCTCGTTTAATGCTGGCTTTCAGCTGCTGGCGAGAGAGAGTCCATGCTGTGACTTTTAGTCTGATTTTTCAATCATAAGAGGCTCCAAAACCTTTTTCTGAATTCTTTGGGTTCTCTTCTGGCCTAATTCCAGCACTGTCTCCGTCCTGAGCAAGGAGAGCTTGTTTCGACCGGTGATCAGGAGATACTCCTTGTTTCTTTCTCTCTTCTCCCTTTTGTTCATTCAGTGCTATTGAGAATAAAATACTTTCTTCGGATAAGCATGTGTTAGAGCGGGAGGGAGAGAGAGCAGCATAGTCCAGCAGTCAGAACTTGATTATAGTCATAGGGCTTTTGTTACGAAATATTTAAATAAAGCATCTAATGAGTCTTTCAGATGGACCAAACTTTTTAAGAAACAAACTATAAAAAGCAAATCCTGCACATGTTGAGCAGAAAAGATTATTTTTCCCTTGCCTGCTATCAAGAAGTCCAGGTTCCACGTTACTCGGCGGCAGCTTGAAATGGGGCTGGCTCAGCACCAGCTCAGAAATGGAGATGTTTTGGAGAACACTTGGGGCTTGGATTCAACCCAGCCCATCTGGAGTCTTTGACGTTTAATAAATACAGGATTTGAGAAACGATACTTGATCACCATCCTGCCCTTCAGAATCCCCCTGTACAACTGTGTTTGTAGAACGCCTCTCTGAGGAGCCGCAGTAGCGTGAGCATGGCGAAGGCGGCGGCCGCAGCCGTCGGTCTCGTGCTGGCAAAGCTGCCTGCGCTTCCCCGCCGGGCGCAGGGGGAAAGCCTCCTCGCCAGCGGGTTTTGCAGCAGGCCTCTGTGATACAAGCATGTGGACGTGCCCAGGGCTGAGAGAAAACTCCCTCCTGATTGATCTGTCTGCATTAACAGTACGGCCAGCATATATTTAGAAAAGAGTCATGGGGAAGGAGTCATGGGGACAAGGTCAAGCTTAGTTTCCCCTCTGTGTTTATGGAACACTTAAGTCAAGAGGGCAATGGTCTGCAAATGTTAAGATGACGGTATTAAAGTGTCCTACAGGCTGTTTTCTTCTCGGGTAGCCCTTAAGGTGTGTAAGGATTACTTTGTCTACAGCCCGGAGCACTCTGCTCCGAGAGCCGTGTCGCCTCCCGCCCACAGGTTGCGTACCCTGCCTCCTGCTCCAGAGCTGGCTGGTGCCCAGCTGGCAGGCATGTGTCTCAGCACGGTTGGTGCCATAGACCCAGCAGTGGGGGGTTCCGAGTGCTGCCACGGGTTCACCTGGCAGCTTACAGCCCTTTCTTGGTCCCTGCTGATGGGGCAGGGTGGAGGTGTCGGGCAGTGACCATGGCAAGACGCTGTTCAGAAGCAGTTAAGAGAGGTGGCGGAGGGTAGGTATTCATTGCAGGTGGCTTGGAGGTCTTTGTGGTTTGGCTTTGGTTTTTGTTTCTTATGAGGAACACGAACTGCAAAGGTGTCGGGGGCACCTTGGTGAGGAGAGGGCTCTGCCGCGGCTCAGCAGAAGTGCTCGCATGCAGGAACTTGCAGGGGAGCACTTTGCACCCCACTGCGTTTGCAGGTGTGCCCATGCTGACAGGGGATGCACAGGGAGGTAGCACTTTCTCCAACGACGCTCTGCAGCCTTGAGTGGGTGCAAGTTTCAGAGCGAGCCCCAGCCCACTCCAGACCCTTGCCCTCACCTCCGATGCCTTCCTGACAGGAGCCCGCGCTACACCGCTGGCCTGGGTCCCGCTGGCCTGGGTCCCGCTGGGTATTGCCTCGGGCACAAAGCCTTCCTTCACTTGCCAGCCTGCAGAGCTCCTCCGGGTCATTCACATCCCTCAGCAGAAGGCGTGAAATACAAATGAGGACTCCTCACAATGGTGCTCTGTCAGCGAGGGGTCCCTCTCCATTTCTGCTGTGCCTCCACTGACTGGCATCACCCGAGTAGATCCTTCCTGATTTACACCAGGGAGAGAGAGGCTGGGGCCAGGCTGTGGAGCAGACCGGAGACATGACACAGAGAATTTGTGCCCTCTGCTTCGTTTCACATATTTTGGCAGAGTCGCCTTCTGTGAGATGTTTTCTGTTCTCTTTGCAAGATGCTGAAGCCAGATAGGAAGAGCCTTTGAATTGGGTCTTTGTGATGACTCTGGCTGGAGAGCAGCCAGCCAGTCTGACTAAGACATCTGAGTCTGCATTAACCCGTTTTCCCGGGGATGAATGGAGTCTCCTCAGTCAGATGGTGTGCTCCCACACAGGGGAGCCCCCGGGGTGTCACTAGGACCCGCCGCAGCCGCCCCCCTCCAGCCATCTTCCCCTGCTAGCCGCAGACCCGTGGGATCGTTGCTCTTCCCGTGACTTGCTGGTAAATGTTTGCTTGTGTAGACATCAAGAATAAAAGCGGAGGATCCGGGATCCCCTGAGCTGACCCATTTCTCAGCCCCGGCCCTGGCACTTTACTCTGCTCGGATCCCCTGAGCTGACCCATTTCTCAGCCCTGGCCCTGGCACTCTGCTCAAAAGCTACAGAGCTGGTGAGAGTTCATGGCTGGGGGTGCAGCACTGATTTGGTGAGCGTCTAAAGGAACCAGCATAATCGAGACTACTGCGAGTGCTAGGAAGGCCACGGGTGGTACCAGGGAGGCGCAGGCATTGCTTAAGGGAGAGAGCGTGTGGCATGGTCTATTTTTTCATTTCACATTAGGTCATATTCATGGAGGCTAGACTGTATGCTCGGTCCATGCAGGCTACGAACTCGGTGGATTTTGTGCCATGTGCCACCTCTGTTTGGCAGAAGCCGTCTGAGTCCCAGGCATGCCTGACCGTGAGGTTTGAAAAGGGGCAGAGTAGCATGTGGGGTGATGGAGTTCTTGATTAAGAGGGGGAGGAGGGGTAATGAGAGGGATGTGCTCACCACAAATGGGAATGCGAAGCAGGATGGTAGGACTGGTTGTGACCTGAAGCCCCAAATGAACATGGTGTTACTTAGCGCACGTTCCTCCTGATCTACAGAGCTGTGCGGCAGAGCGATGCGTGTGTTTTGCAGCAGATGCAATGCTGCAGCAACCCGAGGAAAGCCCCTCCTCACCCTCTCGCAGGACAGACCCCCTTGGCACGGCGGCGGGGCTGGGGCTGAGCTCGGAGCGCTGCCGCGGGGGCCTCGCATGGGGACGGTGGCTGTCCCTCCCTCCCTGCCGGCAGCCTCCCAGCAAAGCCCTTGGCTTTCAGCTCACACGCTGTGGGTGAGCTCTGTTCTGGGGTTGGGGTACTTTCGTTAAGAGCCTTGCTGCAAGTCATTAAGTTTAGGAGGATTTGAATAGAAAAAGTTTCATTCCAATTCCACTTGGAAGGAGACAGCTTTTTTTTTAAAACAAAACAAAACAAAAATGAAAACACAAAGCAACACAAAAAAGTCAGAGGGGAAAAACTTGTTTGGACTCATTGTAAGCTGCGGGAGGAATGTTTACTACGCTCTGGGATGCTGAATAAATGCAGTGTTTTTCAGAAAGTTCTTACATAGGAGATAACATGTATTGCTAAAAGCACTTAGTTAATTCTGTTATTAATATTTCATTAATAATAATTTTAAGACAAAGGGAGGACAGTAACTTCTACTTGATTTCATCTCTGTGGAAAAAAGATCTAAGGAGCATTTGAGAGAACACAGTGGGTGTGGGAAAAAGGCCAGGTTAAATTGAATGTGGTTTTATAGAAATGCTCTTTCTACACCCCTCAATGGCATTTTTCTTTTTAGAAATTATCTTTTTTTGTGTTAACTGCTGATGCATCATAAAAATTAGTTAAGCTCAGGCATGAAGTATTTTTTTCCATATGAACATATTTCTCTTTTTCCCATTTCTTCCCTCCACCGTTTGCCAGATGAGGCTGCAAGCCGAAGCAGAACCTGCCGCCCATCTCGCGCCTTCAGCTCCTCTGCAGCAACAGCTTGCGATTTCCCCAAACTGATTAGGGGTTTGAATTTATTCAGTACTGTCTTCTTTATCGAGTGGTGGTGAATACATCACCGTTTGTGTTGTTCATTACTGGGTGTCCATGTTACGAGTGCAGTAGCTCTGCTGCAATTTCAGCAGGATTAGTGTTGCCTTCATCAAAACGTGTCATACTGGGGTAGGAAATGCAGCAGAAGCAGATTAATTTAATATTTACAGGCTTTCAACTTG